CTTGAAAACCAAGATCATGGACTTGGCAAAGCAAGCATTTACCATTTGCACAACAAACTCTATGCGTATATATTTATTTATTATTATTCTTATACTATTTTTTTTTTAATTGCGTAGTTTTTTATATAGGTCTTTTCATAAAAAATTTAAAAATATTACAAAAGTCAAATTTCAAATGAACTCTTAGGCTTTGATTGTCTGGATATCAAATGAAAGATATGTCTTGGGATTTACTCAGTATATGCAATAAATAAGATATATGGATTGGATAACATATCCCATGCTCATGTTTGTTGAGTTCAGAATATAGGGATGAATATTTTTTATTCATGCTTGTTTTACAAAAAGAATTATGGGATATAAACAAGTAACACATTAATGTCTATTTTGTCCATATACCCATCAACAAGCAATATATAGGTACGCCCATTATATCAAATCATTTCCCAATATATATATGTATATTAAATAAACAATAATCAATTAAGTAATAATATAATCAAAATTAACTAATAATATAAATTTGTTCAAAATATATAACAAAAATAATTTAGAATCAATTAAGTTTTAACATTTTTAAAATTATTTTTCTAAATTTAATTGTGTATTCTAAATTTTACAAATAAAAAATACATATTATAGTTTAATTGACAAATTTAAAAAATAAAATAAAATACATATCATAGTTTATTTGGCCCACTTATTTATTTAATACTCAAATTGGTAAATATTTTTTGAATTAGAACTTTGAAAATTCAAAACATTTTAAATTAGTATAATTATAAATATATTTTTTTATATTTAAGATTTTTTTTAAAAATTGGATTAAAACTTTGAATCTCTTAAAGGAAATAACCTTTTTGTTTATATATATATATATTGTTTATGTAAAAAAATTCAGTTGTAAATATTTAAAAATAAAATTCATGAACATGATTTTTTTGGTTATATACATTCGGATTTCTCATGTACACAATCAAATTTCTTATTGTAAAGCTCATATATAGACATAATCGGATTTCCTATTGTAAAAAGGTAAAATTGTAATTTTAGTTCTTGTTCATCGATGGGATACGATATAATAGAGGGACTGGGTATTGTATATCCTCCCATTTTGGAGATATACAATCCAGTTGTATATTATATCCTCTTCCAAAAAAAATTACAAACACAGGATATATGAGACCCACAGTATATAATCTCCAATCCAACCTTCTATATCTAAGAATCAAACACGGTTTTAGGGCATGTTTATTTGAAAGGACTGGATAAATGGAGATTGTAATCTATTAGACAGTTAATCTTGGATACATAGTCTATCAGATTATTTAGTTGAAAAGAATGTGTATCTCATGTTTGTTTTCTTAATATACTAGTAATTCTAATGTTTGGTTAGAATGGTATGAAAAAGGATAAATGTTCAAAAGATTATTTTATTATTTTCAATTGTTTACTGAGTAATAGCAATAATAAATTTGTCTTTAATATTTTATTTTTTTGCTAGAATTTTTTAAAAATTAAATAACTAAAACATCAATAAAAATTGAATTATTTTATTTTATTTTTTAATTGAGACTTTTAAATTTGATTTTATCTTACTGAGTACAATATATAATGAAACTAAACAATTTGTCCATGTAATAGTGGAAAAAAAAATTGAATCTTTATCCCACCATTTGGAAAAATTTGAATTTTTTTCCCATCATTTAAAAAAAAAATTAAGATATATGTATTTAGAGGGCAAAAGTGTCTTTTTATAAGTTACTCTGATAGGATTGTTATCTCACCATTTGTATCCCAACTCCCATAGAACCCAACAATTTTACATATGAAGGACATGAAATCTGTTGAATTCCTAATCTGATTTATAAATTTTTAACCAAACATTAGACTTTACCATGAAATGAATATGGAGTCCAATCTCCCTTTTTAATCCTTTTAAACAAACACCCCCTTAGAGGATGTTTGACAATTGACTAAAATAATGAAAAAAAATTAACTCAATTTTTAATATTTTTTTACATGTGTTTCATAAAAAATTTAACAAGCACTAAAAAATGCAAATCGCAAGCCAACCCACTCACTTTATCTCCCCTTTAACTGTAAATGGCGTAATGTGTAGTGCAATTTGATCGCTAAGGATGTCGTAGCCTCAGAGATCTCTGATTTGAATTTTTTTTTTTGTTATAGGAAAATTCTCCTGATTAAGGCCGAAATGTACATCATTGAGGCCGTTAATTAGAATCTCTTAACTTCACTTGCTGGTCAAACCGTATATTTTTATGTGTGTTGAGTGTCAATCAGGTTATACATCGTCGGAGCATAAAATGAGCAAAAAGACAGAATTTGGCAGAGTTGACTTTTCCCGCACGTGCGTTGACTTTTTCCGCACGTGCGTTGACTTTCCCGCACGTGCGTTGACTTTCCCGCACGTGCGTTGACTTTTTCTGGCAAAGTCAAACCGACGTTTTAAACCTGTTTGGACGAGATTGGAGGGGAAAAAGGAAGAAAAAAAGGCTGGATTAGGGTTCTGAAATGGTTTGGACCTAAAGAGGGAGGCTAGGGTTTGCAAAAAAGAAAAGGAACAAAAAGCTTCAAGGATGTCTCCCATGGTGATTCCTTCTCCTTCTACTTCCTTCCACTCCTCCATGAGTGGCTAGTCTTCTTTTCTAGGGTTTTGATGAAACCCTAGCCATGTAATTATGTAGTTTTCTCTTTTGATTTTATATTATGTAAGGTTTGAACGACCCATCAAATCCTATCCTCTCATAGGTCTACTGCAGCGCCCCTTACAGAAATCACCAACATGTCCTGTTAGCTATTCCGAGTGAGGAGACTATAACTCTGACCTCTCAAGACAAACTCTACTTAAGTCAGAACTCGTACAGTAAAAGAGTATTGAACCTATACTAAATACTAATTCGATTTCTTGAGCAGCTAAAGGAAAAGAAATCTTGTTGATTGGCTAGAAAAGAAGTGCTAACCAACCCTGATCTCAAAATGTGGAAAGTAGCAAAATTTTACGGCCAAAGACGCTCATTTTTTTTATTTTTAATTTTTATAAATTTAAATGGAAGATAAAATTATTGCACGAGTTCAGCGGGGCTCACTTCAAATTCCAACCGTTGATTTCAAATCAAACGGTCCACACCAAACCAATCAACAATTTCACCCACAGTTGATGGCGCGTGATCCACGTCCCACCAAACGCACTCACACTCCTCCCTCTATCTCATCATCAATCAGTTAAAACCGATATTTCGTAAATCGATGCACACTAATCCGCTTAAACCTCGACCCTCCATTTCCAATCCAACGCTCGAAATTTACCCGCCAAGAATCCACACCTCCCAACATGTTCGACCTTTAAAGGATGGCTATATGCGGAGAGTGCCGTTTGAGGTTCAAACTTTTGTCCCCTAACGTTCACGTGAACCGTTAAGGACCGTTAACTGATTATTTATTTATTTATTAGAAAATAATATCCAAACATAATTTTTAGAACTACTTTCTAAACTTAAAGTCTTGTTTGGCATAATCTTAAAAAGACAAAAAGTTACTATTTTATTTAAGTCGCATCACATTTTTAATACATCACTTCAAATTCAATTTATATTTTATAAAAAGTCAAAAAGTACGCTTATCATCCCAAACCACCCCTTAATATTATATAAGTAAGAGAATTAGTTTTTTTTTTTTTATTTCAACGAAAGTAAGATAATTAGTTGATAATTAAAAAAAATATGAGAGAAAACGTTGCCATAAATATTTTAATTGACTATCACATTATTGAGTTTAAAAAATAGGTTTAACTTTTAAGCTTAAATAACAACACTTTGCTTGGTTTCATTTTTCAAAAAACATTTCTTAGAAAATTCTACTTTCTTGTTTTCCGTATTTTTTTTGTTTTTACTAATTTTTTTTAATATTTTAAGCAAATTTTTTTTTTTACTTTTTAAGCATACCTAACATAAATATACCTAAAAAGTAAAAAAATTATGAAACAAACCTTTTAAAAATTCACTAAATATCAAAAATATAAAAAAAATACGAGAATTTAATACATTTTTTTATATTTTTATGTATTTATTAATTTTTTAAAATATTTTTTCACAAATTTTTTACTTTTTAGATACATCTAAGTAAGGTGTATCTAAAAAAGTAAAAAAAAAATGTTTAAAATTTTAAAAATATTCACTAAAAACAAAAAAATACGAAAATTAAAAAACTCAATTTTCAAAAAACTTAATCCAACAAACTCAAACCAAACCCACAGATAATACTCTTATATATTCATTTTTTTAGCATACTATAAAATGTGAGGAAATTAGTAAGGTATATTATAAAGTCGTAGTCATTTACTCGAATTCTAAACTTCTAATATCCTCAATGTTCTAAGAGACAGTTATATGGACCATTAGATCAATTGATTCAAAGATTTTTAAATGAGTAATTCTATTCGTAATCACACTTTATTTCAGTGCACATCATTTATACTATTCATATATAAACTTTTGAATAAATATAAAATATTCGAATATCAACTTTTGAATAAAAATTAATTGTTTGAATAAAAATCTTATTTAATAGTTGATATCTGAATATTTGTATTTTATTCAAGTAGATATCTTAATTAGAAAAATATTTAAGACACTTAATTTATTACTCTAAAAAATCATACATAATGATATATCTGACAAATGTCAAATTTTAATTTATTAAACATTTTATAACGTAGGATCTAACCTCATCCCACATTATTAAGAGTCATTTAAGTGATAAATTAAAGAATATAATATTATTGGTCTAAATAATTATATTTTGTTCAAAAATTAATATTCAAATGACGAAAATAATATATTTACTAAGACAGTGTAGTATGCAAATAGAATCACCCTCCCAAAGCATGTTAAAGCAAACTTCTTTAACGGCGCTTAACGGAGGCGTCGGTGACCCCTATTTTATTATTATTGTATTTCTCTTCTCTCTCTGGCTTTCAACGGCAAGGTTTTTTCCCAGAACCAGAGAGAGCTCTTCTCTCTCTCTCTCTCTCTCTCTCTCTCTCTCTCTCTCTCTATATATATATATATATATCGACATATATATACATATCTGAGGTTTCTTGGGGTTCAAGGTGTTGAAGCTGTTGTGGACTTGATGAGCTCGACTTCGATTCCCGCCACTTTTCTCAAAGCAGAGGTAGTTTTACTTTCAGATTTTACTAGAAAATGAAAACAATTTTGTGTTTTTTCCAATTCCCCAACTGTTTTCGATAATTTGGAATCGTTTTTGGCTGATTTAACTACCTCTGATTCGCTTGATTTTGATGGGTTTTTTTGTTTTTTTTTATACGCAAACCCTGTAATTGTTGTCTGTAAGTGATATGCGATTTGGGTTTTTGATAATCGTGGTTTGATCTGATTATGAGTCCAAGATCTGGGTTTTATTTGATTTTATTGTTGGTGGTGGAGATTTAGAACTATTGGTTGTGAATAGGGTTTGTAGGGGTTCTGCTATGCTGGTTGGGGATTTTTTTTTTTTTCCTGGGTTTGGGTTAGATGAGCTTTTTGTTTTTGATATGATGAGTTTTAAATTTTGGTTTTTTGGGTATTGAATGTTGATTAGGGTGTTGGGTTTTGGAGGTGATGATTAGAAGGAGATGGCTGAGGTGAAAATAGAAGAGCCTTGTCTTGAGAACAAACAATCTGCTGCTGCGTCCAGCTCTTCTGTTTCGGAAGGTAGTGGCAGTGTTACACTCAAGTCACCAGAGATTTGCAGCCCTACTGCTACATCCCCGTCTCATCGGTACTGTTCTCTAACTTCTGTGCTTCTGCATTTTAATTGTAGATACAGTAGTATGTTATCAATTGCTATAATTGAAGTTTTGGGTGCAAGTGAAATTGAATCTGAAATTTGCAGATAATGAATTGGATTGTTTAGTCCATTTCCTTTTATAGACTAAATTCATTATCTTTTCTTTTCTTTTCTTTTTTCCATTCCTTGATGATTACAAGCCATATGTAATATACTTGTGTTGCTTAAAGATTGGAACTTGGAAGGGGTTTTGATAGTTATTGAGCTTAAAACCAATAATCTTCTATGAATGGCTGTCATACAAGTGTTCCTCCAAAACAAAAATGCATGAAGAGTTGAGTAGAGGGTCCTTAAACTCAAATACAAAGGAAAATGTTGTTAAATGATTCCGAACCTTCCTCTCAAGGGAAATTTGGTTTTATAATGAAAAATTAAGTGTCTTGGGGAATATTTTAAATTGCATTAGGAGGATTTTGGATTTTTATAGAGAATTTTGAATGGGTGAGTTTGTATAGTTGATATGCTTTGAGCCCCTTGGTGCCTCTTTTTAATGAAATTATTTGCTCATAAAAAATTATTTTACAATGCATTAGATTGGATGAATTCATGGAAGCTATGGAAATATCAAGATGTGATTTAGAACTTAAAATCTTTTATGAGTAAAGCCAATGGCATGGATCGATGGTGATATGCTATTGATACATGTTTACAAGTGTGGAAACTGGTGGTGACTTATTAATGTTTCAAAATATGAAGATAAGATTCAAATATGACAATATAAGGAACTTATCACAAAAATAAAAAAATAAAAAATGAGAGTATGGTTTATACTCTAGATCAGTCATAGATGATAGTATTTGCTCAGACTATCGTAATTTTGAAACGAGGGACATGAAGCACAAGATCATTATAAGATCGGTTTTAATTCTAATCGGCCTAAACCTTAATAGATAGGTAAAGGGATTTAACATTACTTTTATGGATACAAATTATCCGTGATTTATGTTTGAAATAAACCATAGATAGAGATGGTACTGAGCTTCAATGAGCCTAGCTTTTCGGTATTTCTGAATTTTGGTTTCTTTTATCCAAGTAATTAGATAGATGTATTGGTTTTCTCTCTGCTCTGTGGATGCTTTAGTACCAGTAGTTGACATTGTCAAGAATCTCAACTACAAATGCTTTTGCACAACACACAATATCTATAAATTTTTGAAGTTTTCCTTTCAAACAAAGGAAAAAAACAAAACAAAACAAAAATTTCTCCTGGAGAAAAATACCACAATAGTTTGCTTGAAATGTTTCTGTCAAGTTTTGTAGAAAGAGTTGAACAGTAGAAATATTGATTATGAGAGGATGTAGAAATTTTTGGGATTTCTTTCGCATGTTGAACTTGCAAGTTGCAGCCATAAGTGAACAAATATGCATACACTATTGAACACAAGTAAAAGAATCATGAAAAATGATGAGTCGTCCTACATTTGATTATTTCTTGATTAGAATTGTAGAATGTATGAGGATTGTGTTTTTGAAGAAGTGTGGCATTGAGATGTGATCTATGGAGAATGACGCCCAGCCGACTGAGGCTGTTTTGTTCATGGATGTGTTCCTCAATCCTCCTTGCAAGCATGATGAAAAAGTTTTGAGAAGCCTATGTGGGTCGAATGGATTATGAAATGTTCACAGGTGTATTACAGTGCTGCAACTACCGAAAACATGTACACAATTTGCTATTTTTAAAGAAAAAAATAGAACATGTGAAGGTCATACTTATTTGACATAATGAATCAGATCAATGGTTACTTGTACTTTATTAAACATTACTGAAATAATACTAAGATTCTTCACATTTTTTAAAATGAAGACAACGATCATGCTTTATTTCTGTATAGTGGATGAAAAACATGAGCAAATTTTAATGTGTGAAAACAGTAGTTTTTTGACATTGAACTGGAATTTCTATACAGGCACATGTTAGATTGAATTATGCAATGCATTTCAGTCATTTTGTTATGCTATACAAGTACATAATTTCCGTCTTCATTAGTACAAGGTAATAGCAACTCAAAATCAACAAGCTAATCCAAATACCTATGTTACTGTGTATGAGAATAAGTTCTTCACCAACCTTCAATTTTATCCTCTTTTTGCCTGCCATTTTTTTAGAGAATCAAAGATATAATAAACTCCATTTATGAGTTCATCTTTCAATCTTTCTCTATTTTATTGTTATTTTTTAAAAAACAAAAATTCTCAAACTATCAAAACAATTGTATATTGCCCCTATTAACAAAAAAATTGACTCTAAGAAACATGGATAACATGATATGGACACACTGTCACAAAATTTTTCAAAATAAAATAAAATAAAATAAAAAATGTACACAACATGGTGTGGAGACCTCAACAAATAAATATATTTTATATGTATGCATGAAAATGACAGCAATTTCTTCATTTTTACATTACATATATATTTATATTTTTCTATATCAAAATAGTAAGAAATTGTTTTTCACATTCTACACATTGGAAAAGAAGTGTGAATAAAAAATTCTAATAAATATGTATTTTAGAAATCTTTTTTTTTTATAGAATTGGAAGTTTTGGGCTTCAAAATTTCTTAAGTCTAAAGGAGGGTGGATTAAACGATATAAATCCATATTGTTTTTATTTATATTGGATTTGAAGTTATTTTTTTAAAAGTTGCAATGTGGTTCATGTGTGTCTATATGATGGATATGTGTCCCCTAAGTGTCTGAAGTGCATCAATTTCTAAAAAATACAAAATTAGTTGGACATGTTTGGACATGTGCTAGGGAGGTGTTTGATTCGTGTTGATGTCAGATACAGACATGACACTTTCTTAGAAGTGTCAGTGCTTCTTAGTTTTATCTAGATTGGTATATTTTGGTTATTTCTTGGTATGTTTTGACCAAAAAAATTCACTTCAAAATAGACACGTGAACTTTGGTTTCCTCTTATGTTTCATAATGGCTCATTAAACAACTCTGAGGCCTCGTTTGGCAATTACATGTTTTAGCCAATAAGTCGAAAAATCACTATAAGTTGCCACATTACTCTCTCTACTTTTTTGCACATCTTTTTGTAAAAAATCGAAAAGTTACTAAAATAACTTGTTCTCAAACGAGGCTTGAAGTTGTTTTGATGGAAGCAACACAATTTTAACTTCTGTGTGTGTTTGTGTTTTTTTTTTTCCCCCATTAAGCCTTAAATTGATTTTTGCATTAAATTCCTGGATTAGTAAATTATTGGTAAAAATTGCTTATGATTTTTAAATATATATATATATATATTGTTGTGATTATTAGCTTTAATAATGTGAAACTGATTTTGTAGGAGGACCACAGGCCCTATTAGGCGAGCAAAGGGGGGTTGGACTCCAGAGGAGGTAAGCAATTTCTCTGACACATGAATGCACTCTGACACATGAATGCAGTTGTATTACAGGCCAACTGGAAGCTTATGTTTATGTCGATTCATTTGTTATATTATCGAGGGTCGGATTAGTTCAGTTGAGTTGTTGAGTCTTAATATTGGAAAATTTGAAATAATTTTGGCTTTACATGGAAACTTATGGTTTTAATTATGGTTCATTTGTGTTTTTATCACTATTTTGTGGATTATAGTGTTGATTTACAAAAACCTGTTCAATTTTCCATAGGATGATACATTGAAAAGAGCTGTTGCAGTTTTCAAGGGGAAATGTTGGAAGAAAATAGGTTCCTCTCTTCCCTTCGTGGTTTCTCTAGTATCTATTTATTAACTCTATTGAAGTTACAATGATGTGGCTAGTATTAAACATATCACGCATCTTGGCTGGATGTTGAGATTTTATATGTTTTCTTGGTATTTGTGTGCTTTTCTTCACGGACCTTCCTGTCAATATTCATAATTTAGCTGATAAAATAAATTACATCTTTAATTAAGGTATGCCATTATCAATTAAACTTGTTTATTAATGTAACAATGGTGGCTACTACGACTGTAAATTTTTGTCACACTGCTATAGTGGCTGTAACGGGTGGAGAGGTAACCACTAAAACGTTATGTAAAAGCGCTGCGTAATGTTGCTACCGATTTTTAAAATCTTGGTTATAACTAAGCTCTAGTCAGGTCTTCATTGACTTCGCAAGTATTGTTGCACCCAAAATCAAATAACCAAGGACAGATTAATACTTTGCTGTATGGCCAGGGATGGAGGGGAGTGGTGCAGGGGGCAACTGCTCCCTCTGATACTTTGGAAACAATTGGGGTCCGTTTGTATTTTGCGAGTGGTGAATATGAAAATGTAGAATGTCCTCCAATAATTTTGGGAACGTAGTTGGGTGATTTTACAATTTTTTAAAGATGACTTTGAAACGAAAGAGGAAGGAAAATATGAATTCAAAGAGAAAAGAAAATTGAATTATCTGTAGTTTCAGTGCTAATCCAATGCAAGCGGATCTAGCAAAGGGCTAAAATGGATTGAACAGCTAGTTGAAATGTTTTGGGATTGGAGGATCAAATATATATATTTTTTTGGTAAGTCAGGAACTCTCGTAAATTAGACATTAATGCTTACGAAGCCTTGGGTGAGTGATACCCCAGCATCTTCATACAACTGGAATGAAATACATTCTGGAAAGAAAAAAGATAAGAGGCCTTCTTCATGTTTAAAGCCTTCATTAGCTAAAATGCTGGTGCACTTGTTTTCCTCATGGTAGCTGTGGTCTATACTGTTAATTCTGAGCTAGCCCAGGAGGTACCTACAATCACAGACAAGGTTACTAAGAGTGTGTAGTTCATGTGATTGACTGAAAAGAATATCAACCGTGGTTTGGGCATCGGTTGCAACTTCCAATGAAAATTTAATAAACCTCGAGAGTTGTAGTTAAACCATTAACCCAATTGCTATGATACCATAAATTCATAATGTTATAGCAAGTATTTTCATTTATTCGTAATTAAAAATTCCCTGATTATTGTATAACTTTTATATTTAGCTGCATTAATATTGTTATCCAAACAATTTATCAATTTTTGCTGCATTAAAGAGTTGACAATACATACATGAATGCATACTTTGTGAGAACTCTCTGACATTTAGTTTTTGGTGAGGCAATTTACGTTTAAATTCATTATTGAACTAACTAGCAGGTGGGCTTATATTGGATATTGAATTCTATGCAGCTGAATTCTTTCCTGATAGATCAGAAGTGCAATGTCTACATCGATGGCAGAAGGTTCTCAATCCTGAACTTGTTAAGGGGCCATGGACACAGGAGGTTGGGCACCTACTAGCTTCCTTCTCTCCTTGTTGACATCTGCTTGTTCACTGGTTTTGCAGTTTGTGTCTAAAAACATATTATTTGGAGATCTCATTTTGTTTGAGGCATTAAACGTTTGCTACTCCTTTGTTCATAGGAGGATGATAAAATCATAGAATTGGTATCAAAATATGGGCCTACAAAGTGGTCTGTCATTGCAAAGTCTTTACCAGGTCGTATTGGGAAACAATGTCGTGAAAGGTAATACTATGAGAAAAAAATCATCACTTTTTTGGGTTAAATTATGAGAGTTTTATTTTTTTGTATCCTATGTATTGCAATTTGCACTTAATGTAGTTTGGTTTGATTTATTTTTTGACTTTTGATTGTCATACTTGGATATTTTCAGGTGGCACAATCATCTTAATCCAGACATAAAAAAGGATGCTTGGATGTTGGAGGAAGAATTAGCCCTCATGAATGCCCACCGGATACATGGGAACAAATGGGCTGAAATAGCTAAGGTTCTACCTGGAAGGTATTTATTCATGTACTATATATTGTTTTTGAAATGAAATGAATAGTAGACCATATATAAACTGTCATTAGCCCTTAAAAGGCATGTTGTTTGGCTCTCAATTAGCTAGCTTCTGTTTCTTTGGTGATTTCTTGTAAAAAGAAAAAGATGGTTCAATGACTTTTTAATGTCACTGAGATCTAAAGCTTGTATTCATTTGAACAGAGGGAAGAAAATAAAAAATTTAGGAAGTTTTTTTGTGTTTGGTTCCTCACACATGATAGGACTATTTTAAAAAAAAAAAAAAAAAAACCTTATCTTCATATTCCGCAAGTGTTTGCTCCCTCACATTAGGCAGTCAGAGCTTTTACTATTGCACCAATCATTGATTATGCAAGGGATAACAAAGTAATGCCAATAGTCTTCTGTTAAAAGTGGTTTTATGAATAAGATGTATTTTATTCAATTGGTATGAAAGACGCCAACTACCTATATTTACTTACATGCGAAGCTTGAGATTGATGCAGCATGGCTGCCCATTAGGGGAAGCCATTTTTCTCTCCTACATGGCACTCATCTGTCACTTCTAGAAATAGAATATGCTGCTCACAGGTACACTTTAAGAATAGTTTAATGAGAACTCAGAGTTTACAGGATGAAAAAAAGATGAGCATGTAACAGAAAAAGAATATAGTTGTAAAAATAAAGAGGTCATAATGTGATAACTACATTGAAATATTATGTATAAAAACAAAAAATTTTGGGGGGCACATTTTTACATAACTTTTTGGCCTTCATCTTGTGAGATTCTAAATTTTATTTATGCAGGACTGATAATGCAATCAAGAATCATTGGAATAGTTCCTTAAAGAAGAAGTTAGATTTCTACTTAGCTACTGGAAACCTCCCACCAGTTGCAAAAAATGGTATCCAAAATGGTGTGAAAGACACAAGTAGAACTGCTTCAACTGGAAAAATGCTTGTCTGTTCAAATAAAGGGTCAGATTCAACTGCCCAGACTTCATCAGGAACTACGGATGTTTGTAAAATAGAAGATGATAGCAAAGATCTGGAGTCCTCAACCCCAGTTCAAGATATGGTTGCTTCCTCAAGTGCTCCTGCAAATAAATCTGTTGATTCTGAAGTTGTAAAATGCAATTCACTGTCATCAGATATAAATCTTAGGAGTAGTGATTCAAATATAGTACAAAAGTTTGAGAGATGTAGAACCAACGGTGATATTGATCAAGACGAAGCGATAGGAACATCACTGCAATTTGAAATTCCAACATACGGTTCATTGTACTATGAGCCACCACAATTAGAAAGTTCTGTGCCCTCAGATTCAGATCTTTTGAAAATGTCTTGGATGAGAGAATCAAAATCTAGTCCGATAACATCACCTATTAGTTTCTTCACTCCACCTTGTGTGAAGAGTGGTGGTTTATGTCGGCAGAGTCCAGAATCAATATTGAAAATTGCTGCCAAGACTTTTCCCAATACTCCTTCCATATTACGGAAGAGGAGGACAGAAGCTCAAACACCTATGTCCTCAAAGAAAATTGGGAAGGCTAGTGGGGAAGAAATCCAAGTCGGGTCCCGTTCTTCAGATGAGCAAGAACAAACTACAAATCATCTTGAGAATTTAGGGTTGCGAGATGAAAGTTTGAATGTAAGTCCTGCTTGTCTTGGTAATGGCACCACTGGGCTTTGCAATGGCAAGGCTTTTAATGCGTCTCCTCCTTATCGATTAAGATCCCAACGAACAGCCATTTCCAAGTCCGTGGAAAAGCAACTTGAGTTCGCATTTGACAAAGCGCACCAAGATGGTAATAATAAATCTGTGGATTCAATTGAGGAAGGAAATCCTCCTTTAAACAAAGATTGTTCTCATGCATCAAAGATGGGTGTGACCTAGAACATAAATTGTAAGTACACTATTGAATTACACTTTGCTGGAGGGAGTAGTTTGTGCTTTATACATTTCACTTGATGTCCTTAAAATTTGATTTTTGTTCTATAGTAATTGAATGAGAACTAAGATAGACCTATTTGCAAATTATTGTCTACTTTGTCCAACCAAAGTTACCAAATATATTGCTTAGCTTGATTTGTCTTTTGATGATATCATAATATTTAATTATTGAGCTAATGAAGAGTGACTGTTGTAACATTTGGGAGTGAAAACAAGCTGTCTCAACTTTATATTCTTTGCCATGTCTGTCCCTAAATACATGTGCACAAAAACACGCAGACACAGGTTCGAATTAACTTAATACAATGCAAGCATGATTTGTTAAAAGAGTGAATTGGATTTTGTAATCCAAATATAGATGTAAGATCATTTTTGATGGAGTGGAGAATTTCCGTAGAAGCCTAGAGTTAATCGTTCCCATCTTTGTGATCTAAAAGATTCAACTATGTTAGGTGTTAGCTTACTAGGATAAGAGATGATTATCCCCATATTTTGTGATCTAGAAGACTTAACTATGTTATTTGTTACCTTATTGCCCTATTGCTAGGATTAGAGATGAAAAAAACTGTACCAAATTTGGCAATCTCATTTTGATGTAGACCATAAGAAGATCACGAAAAGTAAAATGAATGAAGGGACGAAGTTTGAAGTTTGATTGATTTCTAGCCAAACTCATTTTGGACCAACTGAAAGCTTGTGTAGTTTAGTTTTTAGTCATGCTACTAGAGTCCTGTTTTATGATTGTTTATGCCAGGTACTAATTTGGATTGTTCTTTATATGATTTTTTATGTTCCACAGGCTAGGATATTGTGGTAACAAATCATGGACTGTATGGGTCACCCATGGGTCAAATCATGTACTTGGTTTTTATTTATGGGTCTTATTTATGGGTCAAATCATGTAATTTCTGAACATGGGTTTTAGATAGGTTTTTGGAAGTCATCCAAGTTTCAAAAGTCTAGTTTTCTATTTAGAAATTCAAATTCTAGTTAGGGTAGGAGTCTGTAAAGATGATAAAATTTATTCAGAGTCGTGCGTGTGTGTTTGTGAGAGAGAGAGAGAGAGAGAGAGAGAGAGAGAGGTGGGATTGTGTGATGCAATTCTAACTCCCAAGTGTGATGTCTGCTCTTAATAAGAAGCCCAATCTTCAATGAACACATTTCAGAGAGTACAGATCCCCTCCTTGAGGCCCCTCCTTAATTCCCTCCTTGCAGGGGCCTTCGGGTCTACTTTGAGGCCCAGTTTTGATAATCCGAACCGTTCATATTTTTAGATTTATTCAGTATATTATACCTGTAAAAAATCAAGTTGATCGGATATCAGAAAGTATGCGTTCAGAAAATTGGGATTACAAACTATTTTTTAATAAACAATTTTCCGAACACATACTTTATGATATTCGATCAATTTGATTTTTTACAGGTATGATATACTGAATAAATCTAAAAATATTAACGGTTCGGATTATCAAAACTGGGCCTCAAAGTGGACCCGAAAGCCCCTGCAAGGAGGGAATTAAGGAGGGGACTCAAGGGGAGGATCCCAATTCCATTTCAGACTCAGTCCTTTGTCGTTGTTCATGGAATATTCAATGAACCTGGATGACTTGAACCATGAGTTAAAAATAATCTGGCTTGATTATTTTTTTCCCCTTTAATGGCATCAGCTCTTACAATTTTATCACAAGTCTTGTTTTGATTATTATTTTTTTACAGCACGACATTTATTTCTCCTTGATTGATTATTTACTTTTGCTGATTTAGGATCAAAGTTGGGGATACTTCTGAAGTTGGTTGGGCAAGTTTTGTTGAGAAGCAGCTTAGTGTCCAAATAGACTATTCAAAATCCACGAATCGTGACCAAAATCATCCTTGAATTGGTTATCGTCAAGACAGATCGTCCGCAATACACAGAGGTCTTGTCATCACACCATAACACATGAAATTCGGCAGCAGAAGGTTCCTTGTCCATCTGTGTGTATTTGAAGAATATGGACTAATGAGTTCCATTTGATTTGTGAAAGAGAATATCCGAACCATTATGTATATGTACATAAACCTCCCCCTAGCAGGGAAGAAGGGCTTGAGCCTCAAGAAAACATCTTGATTGAAAGTTCATGATCATAACTGGAATTATTTGCATATTCAACAAACTTGGGAGGTTTTACTGCATATTAATAATATCAGTATGTTTGGTTTCAGTTTTTTGAAAATTGAGTTTTTTTTTTTTTAGTGAATATTTTTAAATTTTAAGTTTTTTTTTTAAATTTTTTTAGATGCACTTTACTTAAATATATCTAAATAGTAAAATATTTGTGAAAAAATATTTTAAAAAATTAATAAATACACAAAAATACGAAAATATATTGAATTTTTATATTTTTTGGTATTTAGAGTATTTTTTAAAGATATATTTTACAAATATTATATTTTTTAAGTATATTTATATTAGGTGTGTCTAAAAATTAAAAAAAATTACTTAAAATATTAAAAAAAAATTTATTAAAAACATTAAAATATGAAAAATAAAAAAGTCAAATTTTCTGAAATCTAAAAACTATAACCAAACATCTCTTTCAGTATTATGATTGTCCTTTGGAACTGCGAATGTAAACTTTCTTATCGAGTTTTTCAGTGACAGTTGCTCCTCGAATGTAAACTTTCTTATCGAGTTTTTCAGTGACAGTTGCTCCTCTAATAAATTGTGTCGTTATGTGCACAATTGATTCCGAGGGGTTGTTTGGGAATAATATAAAGTAACATATTTATTTTGTGAGTGCTGCTATTAGCACCTACCAAAATTTCTTGGATCTCTCATTCCTTTGGACTCCAACCCTAAATTTTAAATTTTAATAATATTTTTTTAGACACCCCACTTATTATCAAATTTACTCATATTCATAATATTTTTCATAATGAAATGCACACTCACTTGAATCCATTCCAACATTAACCTTAACCTAAATCCACAAGTAAATGCACGCAATTCACACCCCCAGCCACACCCACTCTCTGCCTTCCTCTCTTATCTCTCTCTCTCTCCTCATTAGTGATGTCTCTTCTCTCTCTTTTCTCTCTCTCTCTCTCAAAACCCCTTCAAGACCCTAGCTTTTCCTCTCTCTTCTCTCTCCAACATTAACCACATCTAAAAGTGGTTTCTGAAAATACAATGCATTTACTTGTGGGGTTGGTGTTCTTCGTCGATTGGGATTTCGACGACGTGGGTCTCTTTGGAATTTGCCATTGATTGGGAAATTCAGATGAGAAAGTGAAGATTGATACGAATTGTAGGAATAAATAACAATGTATTCTCTCTTCTCTCTCCAACATTAACCACATTTAAAAGTGGTTCCTGAAAACACAATGCATTTACTTGTGGGGTTAGTGTTCTTCGTCGATTGGGATTTCGACGACGTGGGTCTCTTTGGAATTTGCCATTGATTGGGAAATTCAGATGAGAAAGTGAAGATTGATACGAATTGTAGGAATAAATAACAATGTATATATATGGAAAACTAATCTCCATAATATTTTCATAATATTTTCAGAATAGAAAACTAATCTCCATATTTTCACAATGAAAATGCACACCCACCCAATTTGTTCACCACTGTGTAGCCGAAAAAATGTATTTTATTCATAATTGTTTTGTCGAATAATAATGATCCTGTTAGCACTGTATGTCCGAACAAATTTGTTCATCACTGTGTAACTTGAATCCATTCCAATTCACAACTTAAAATAACATGAATTAAATCCATTCAAAATACATAACTTAAATCCATTCCAATTCACTCTTTTCCGTTCTAAGTTAGTTTAACAAAGAAAATTACATAACTGACCATCTGCATTAATGTTCGGAACCTATGTATTGAACGAAAAGATTATGTTCAGTACTGTATTACCGAACATAATTCTAACAGTCAGCAAACCAGTACCGAACAGCTCGAACGAAACAAGAAGGACCGAAAACGACCGAGAATGTTAATACAAGACAGACAAATGACCAAGAATGTTGTCCTCGTCCTCCATTGCTGTACACAGTGAAATAAGTGATGAAGTATACGTTATACTTGAAGCAAAACTTTCAAGTTCAATAGCGTTGATAATGGTAATGAAGATGACACATTCAGGATTTAAGATGATTATGAAAAATAATAGATTTAAGGTTTATGTTAGTTGGTTATGAAAAGTAATAGGTTTAGGGTTTACAAACATGGAATACGTATAGTTGGAGTTGGAGGTGCGAGTGGCGGTGGGGGTGGGGGTGGGTGTCCAATATTGTAGAGTATTAGTTCTTATTGATAGGTGGGTGTTCCATTTAATAATGTCTTTTAATGTAATTTTACTTTAGGATATAATTGTAATAAAAAAAATTATAAAATGAGAGATCTAAAAAATTTTGACAAGTGTTAATAGCAGCACTCTTTATCTTATTTGAATCACATCATCACTTATTTCAGTTATTATCTCTTTATTTATTTTTATTTTTTTTGTACTTTCTTTCATAAAAAGCAAAAAGTTATTAAAATAACATATTTGCCAAATACCGTTGTCTTTCTCATTTGATTGCTTTATATCTGTAGTCCTATTATTCAAAGATTGCTGGATTCTGGCAATGTTTGGATGCTAGTGATAAGAAGCTTAATAGTTTGATGGATTCTGCCTTCCCCTAGAATAGTGAATTCTAGCTTGTAAATTTTCCTCCTGTATATGAACAGTACTTGAATTTTTCCATCTTTTTTTTTTTTTTTTTTTTTTTTTTTGTTGTTGTTGTTGATGTTGTTGTTGTTGTAATAAAGCCTTTCCATGAGCTGAGGGTTCTGTAAGTCAACTTTATTTTTTGTTTTGGGACCGTGAACATGGCATTCCTAAAATACAGGATAACAACAATGCTACAGACCCCTAGTGGGGGTCCGACCCCCAATGATGTGGCACGGCCTCATTGGCTGAAAATAAATAAATAAATAATTTTTTTTTTTTGCCCAATCAAGACCCTACACGCACGACCCCAGCACCCCCACTGGGGGTCGGAGGCATTTTCCTACATGATAATTAGTCGTACTTGTGACATTTGTTCCCTTTAGGCGTGTATGAATGTTTGGCGACATTTGTTCCCTTCAGGCGTGTATGAATGTTTGGAAATTGGAGTGTGCTCTGCCTTGTGAATGATCTTGTTTTACAGGCCTTGATTTTCTTCTCCACAATAGAGTTATTTTTCTTATCAAAACACTGAACAAGGAAATATGGTGCACAAACAATATTCAATACTTAAATCCCACACAAAATGAATGGTAGTGCTAAATGAACAAATTAATATACATACTAATATACCAACTAGTGTTTTATCATTATTATTGACCTCACATATTATATAAATTATAAATATTCAAAATTATATCACATCATCTATTAATATATTAGTTAATACATTAATTAATACATCTAGCATTATTCTACTAATAATTTTAAAAATGGGAAATTTGACTTTTTAATTACAAAGTAGAAAATATGTAAGTATAAAAACTCATATTATTATTGATGAAAATCTCACCTTTAAGTTTTTCTAATTTTATTCATGACCTGGCCAAATATATGTAATTCCGTTGACAGCCCAAATAAGAAAATTAAGAAAATAACTCTCAAAATATGCCAAAACTTGTGGAACATATATTATATTTCCATTTCCTCCATCGGTCAGTGTATTTGTCTTTTGTAGTTGCTATATGGTTTATATAATAGGCTGTTTTGTTCATCAAACTTATTAGGCTCATTAACATAAAAGCTTTGTTAATCAATGATCTCAGGACACTCATTAATAAGACTCAAAAAAAAAAAAAAAAAAAAAAAAAAAAAAAAACCCCAAAAAAAAAGCCAAAGAAAAAAAAAAAAAAAAAAAAAAAAAAAAAAAAAAAAAAAAACCATCGGCCTATTTACTCCTCGGCCTGTGCGTTCATCAAGTGTTTCTACTTCAAGATCCTTTTTTGGCTCAAATATGGTAAAATATTAAATCGACCATACTGCAATTTGAAAAATAATTTGGAGAGAGAGAGAGAGAATTAGGAGTGTTTCATATCAGATCAAATTTTTAATCAAAATTCACTCGCATTTAATTATATAAAAAAGAAAGTAGAAGAGAGAATAAGGATTCAATAATCTCAATTATCTAATTATGTATGTTTAACAAATGATATGTATTGTTAGCAGTTAAATTTTCACTTGTGTTTGATTAATTATAGGACTTTTGAGGATGACGTTTTTGTTCCCAAAACAATTAAGCCATGTTTGTTTGGGTGGATTGGATTAGCATTCCCATGACTAATAGTCCAAGACTACGAATCCGTTGGATTATGTATCCTATCTTAACTAATAGTCAAGTTTAAAATAATTAGTCCGTACTTCAATTGTTTAACCAAATATCGGATTAATAATTTTATTGGACTATTAGTCCAATCCCAAGCTCATGTCCACCCAAACAAACATGACCTTAGGGTACTAGTGTCATAAAGAATCATTTCCAAGCTAACCTGAATCGCCTATACATTGGACCAAGCCACGAATTCCCTCCAAGATCCTTAAGTTTAAGCCCCAAAGTAGGAGATATGGATAATTGCATAGCTGACATTTGGAGACTCATTTATCATCATACATCTGAATTAGAATCCTAACCACCTGTGCAATTCAATAAAATATCCATCAAGAGTTATTTAAACAGTTCAGGAGGATTTACATGAGAGTGAAAAGACAGCAATATGGCCTAATGCTGACCTTCACAAGAATGTCTTCCACAACTTCATGCTAAAACATTAACAAAGCACCAATAGTTGTCTGACGAAAAACCTTGGAACTCCGGTCAAGACCATGAGAAGCCACCTACACATACAGAATGATAGATCATAGATGCACAAGAAAATTGTAACTGGGAGAAAACCAAAACTCAAAAAAGTTCAAACACCTTCATAGCAGGAACTCTAAACAATGTGAATCTCCTAAATTATCTTTCGGGGTATCTTATATAATGATTGTGAATTATAAAAGTCAACATATAAAGTTTGCACTGTAAGATGAGACTAGCCAATAAAGTTGCTTGCCTAATAAGAATATTCCCCAAAATTTAAAGCTTCAATGTGACTTATAGCCACCTAGCCCTAAGATGAGTGTAAAAGGTCTCTTAAAACCAGGTGATGTTTGAGACACCAGCAGCCAAGATGTTCAGTTTCAATGTATGATGATTATGCAATTAATAAATAACAAGCACGGACATTAATAAATATAAAAAGTTCCTTTCTTACCATATGAGTAAGGGCTGCATAGCGTTCCTCGTTCAAATACAATGGCTTTCCCCTATGCATTTCCATATCCTGCCAAAATAAAAAATAAAAAATCACTACATGTGCATAGCAATACTCTGCAGTTATGTGAATGCGTGTAATTGCTGTATATGTATGACAACCCAATCTTTTAGGAAAAATATAAATGTATTTATAAAAAATATAAAAATCAGCTAAATGAAAACCCAAAAATTTCCCAACCATATGGATCAGCTGATGGAAAAAAGTAGAAATGAACCCAGAAGAATAAAAATGAAAGCTAATAGAAGGCTGCTTCCAAGTTTTCTTAATCTACTACAGAAGTTTAACAATTATGTATACCAAACACCTTGGAGTTAAACCATTTCTAGCCATATCCTATTTGAACAATCCTGACAGGCACACCTTTTCTCATTCTTAAATCTTACATTTTATTTTAAGAATAAAACAATGTAAATGTAGGGTTTCCAATATTAAATTTATAGGGCTGAATTAGACATAGCCGAATTAGTTCATAAATCCGATCCCTTCAAGTGGTGTCTTTATGTTGAACAACAAACCTTCATTTAGCAACAACATTTCTGCCTTTTTATGACCAAAAAGTGATAAAATGGGAGACCGCTACTTAAAACAAAAGAGAAACATGCACAAATGGATCTTTGATTTTACAAACTTATTGCTACCTCTTCACCAAATGCATCCAAGTATGGGGAAGGCCAATGTGCCTGACGTGCAGATCTCTGAAGCAAGATTGTGGTTTTCTGCAAGAAGTACTGCTTAGTCAGCTCTTAAAAAAATGCAGCCAACACAAGAAGAAAAATAATACTGTCAAGTGAACAACAAAATTAAAATTAAATTAAGTTCTCAAGCATGAGGCGGCAAAACTTAAAACTTACCCTAATCAACAGGAATACTCCAGTTCCAGCACCGCAGGCCATTGCATGAGTTTGGCACCTACTTTCCCTTAAGAGGCAAGATAAATAATGTCAACAAAGTTTGTAAAATCTCAGTCATAACAGTCATCTCAGCAGCACAACTACTATGCACAAGGAATTTTCAAACTCATAATCATTAGAATACTGTTTGTGTCACGAGACACTTGTATATTACCAACAATATTTTGAGACAAGCTTGTTATCTCATCATTATTGTTACAATATATTATATGAGCCAACAAAAAGATTATGTTTGTATGAAGCAAAGTTTGAATAAAATACTAACAAGTATTGATGAGATACAGACCCGCAGCATATCTTCCCGTTTGGAGAGCACAATTTGCCACACAGCAGGCACAACGCTGGCTCTTCCAGAACAGCTCCGCAATCAAGGCAGTGCTGCTTTATATACCTGATGAAACACACATAATTTCCAATGATTCAAATGATAAAGAACAAAATGGGAATAACAAATGATTGTAACTGTATCTAGAGTTAACCTCTGTAAGAGATCCTGGTAAAGATGTGGCAGATGCATCAACTTAAATGGAACTGCAGGGGTCAAGTGCAAAACAGACTGACGATTGTGAACTACACACTCCATAAAATGATGGAACCATCTTAAGACTACGGAGCGTAGCACTTTATCGTTAAGAACAACATCTAGATTGGGAATCTTAAACATCTTCTCCAGCTTTTCAACTTCAACAAGTTCCACCTTAATGGCATTGGTATATTCCATCATATCGTCAATGGCATGAGATGACCTATCCAGCACTTGAGCCCCATCGCTAAATGGTGCAGAGGTGGAAGAGTTCACTACTTTCCACAACAAAGCACATCTTCGCAAAAAAGGAAAGCTCAAGCTACGAATTGTATCCTTGATATCATAAGAAAGATCAATGTAGTTGGAAACAAAATACTGCTTAGCAATTACATATTCTCCCATAACTTTGGAGATGTCAGTGATCAGGACATCATCGCATCCTAATTCAGTTGCATTGCATTGACATTTTGCACAATATGTGATTATAGCCTGCAATACAATATTTTATGATTATAATACCAATAATGCAACAGAGGAACATTAGAATGTATGCTTCTGGCAGCTTAATGAATAGGGTGGTGTAACAAACCTGAGCTATGGAGACAACGTAGAAGATATGCACAAGGGATAAGAAGGACTCTTCACAAGACAGAAATTGGGACGGAAGACAAAAGAGTACCCACATCAGTGATGAAAAAGCATCACGAGAAAGAACAGGATCGGAAGCTCGTCTCCAAAATTGGATGTCTGGATATGGTACATCCGTTTCAACATTTTTCAAGATAGATAACATGTTAGCTGCGAAACATAACATCAATCAGGAAATTAGTATTTTAAAATCTAAAATAAATCACAAATAATCCAAGTTCTAATAAATAATTTTGGCAACTCATTCATCACGTTTGACTGACTGCTCACACTATCATATTAACTGATCTAGAAACAAAACTGTTGTGGTTTGCAGTTGTTTACATTTCTCTTAGACCCATTCCACGGGACAGGCCTAAGGCAAGGCAGACCACAGTATTCCATCAGGGTCTAAAATTGTGGTATTCAACGAAAAGAAATATAGCCAATTATATAAAGCGATTAAACTTATTCTAGGTCGGTGAGCATCACAGAATCAACATGAATTTGGAAATCTATCCACAATCAGCGTCTATGATTTACCCTGCAAAACACTACACATACAATGGGTGCTGATCACAGAATCAACATGAATTTGGAAATCTATCCACAATCAGCGTCTATGATTTACCCTGCAAAACACTACACATACAATGGGTGCTGATCGCTGACTCAGTTAAATTCAGCTCGTCTGCTTATTAGACTCATTTGTTTGAATTGAAAAAAAAACCAACAAAGTAACAAAAAGAAAAAAAAAATAGACCCACTCATCTTGATGACTTATAGTTGTTCAATATGAAAATCTCCAGATGAGTTGCAACTATTAGTAAAGCAGTCAGATTCACAAAAATTAGAACTTGATTTAGCAGCTCTGTGAATAAATGTAAATCAGATGCCAAAATTCCCTAGCTCCAACAAGTCACAAGGCACAGCGTGACAGAAAAGGCTGTTCAAGAAAATAATTCTCCTCATTAATGGGAGTAGCAACCATCGAAAAACTAATTGATCATGCAATCTAAGACAGCTACTGTGCTGAATATATAATGACCAAGACAAATTAGAAATGCCTAGAATATTTTCTTCCAGGTGCTGAAAGTGTTCGAAGATGTTTTCTTCAAGAATAGGAGGTTGCCTTGCAGTAATGTTAGGGGAGGAGTCTCCTGTAGTGGCATCAAATGGATGGAGGCAGAAGCAGAGAAAGGCTTTGGGTCTGGATGTTATTAGTATTGAAGGAATAGGTTTGACCATCCTAGCAGGAGGGGTTGAAGTAGAAGGCCTATGTTGATTGGGAAATGGGAAGAGAAGGGATAGGATACAAGCAAGCCAGGGTAATCAGTAGCTAAGGAGTTGGTGGTACAGGAGGGGAAGAGCACCAGCCAGAGGTAGAGAAAAAAGAGCAGGTGGGGGTCACTCCAATGGATTGCACTTAAGCCACTATGCTTCCACCGGTGGTTGATGGGGATAATTACACAAAAGAAGCCAAGGCCAAGGCCAAGGAAATGTAAGTCCAGCAGGTGGTAATATTCTCGTCTTCTAAACTGGATGATAGGAGTCATGGGACAGAGAAGTTAGGGTTTAAGGACTTGGCAAATTTCTCAGGATTCCATGCAAAGAATTTGACAATGATGCAACGAAGTTGTTTGCAACAATTGAAGTAAAAAAGAGGCCAAAATATGGATGCAAATTCAGCTAGGATGAATGGGGAAAGCAAAGCAAGAAGTGGAAGAGACTTTAAAGAATTTGGTTAGCACCATCAATTATGACGGGTGCTACAGTGGAAGGAAATAGATGGTTTGTTGATGGTTTTCCATGAAAATTAGAATAGCCTCAGATTGACCAACATATATGTTTTTTTTCTTTAATGATCATTATGGTGTCCATGGAGTTTTTGAGCTGATGCAGAGGTTTTCTTATGCTTTGCTTTTGTATGGGGCACCCTCTTTTTCTTTACCTTCTTTTATTTTAAGTTGGTATGACCTATTTAAAGAAAAAGAGGTTCTGCACCATAAAATCTATTTACTTCATGATCATTTAGTCAAGCTTAAGCATGCTAGTACAAGAATTGTGCATACCAAACTGGTTAGGATTTGATCATAAACACAAATCTAGCAGTTGTCATTCATGATGTGTACTAAGAAGCACGTACACTTCTCAAGTGGTCTGTCATGTCGGACACCAACACGACACGACACTCGCTAGACACTTTCCAATACCTGTCGCACACACGTCCAAACATGTCCAACTATTTTTAAAATTTTCTAGACTTGGACACGCATAAGACACTTGGAGAACATGTGTCTATCGCGAGAACACTTGAAACACATAACAAGTTTGAATAAAATAACTTGGAATTCAATGATAAAAGAAAAAGAACATATGTCCCTCCATTAGACTTTAAATTTTATTATCTTTGTCAAATAGTAAATATATAAAATTATATATTTTGCATGTCCCTCACAAATTGTGTTCTAAATTTTTAAAAATTGTGTCAGCATGTCCGTGTCATGCTTCTGAGAGTGTGCTTGTTCAAACACAAATCCAGAGTAGTAAATTATGAACAAACCAAATGGAGGTATAATGGTATCAAATACTCATGATAATAACACAACACAAGAACAATGTCATTAGAATCTAAAAAGTACACAGTAACAGCAACCATACCTCCTTGTCTGTATATCTGGCTCGGAAATTCTCCCTGTCTGTATATCTGGCTTGGAAATTCATCTAATGAAACGCCAGAGCATACTGACTCCGCAAAGAGCTGAATACCTCTCAAACTTAGAAGAACAGTAAGACTGTTCTTTGTCCGTGTGCTTCGCACAATTTTTAGCAACAAAGATAATATAAACCCACTTGAAGATTTGAGTTCCTTATGTAAGGCATTAAGGCCATAATTTGGAGCCAAAAAAGTCCTTCCGCAGCGAGATGCAATTTCAGCAGATATAAGAGAGTACTTAAGAGTGTCCCACATAATTACCGAGTGGCTTACCCTTGCAGATCCTGAAATCCTATCCTGTTTGCCTGGAAAATACATTCCAGATAGTACACGAAACATGGATTCAGGATTTGGTCTTATCCTTCCATTTTGATGCATTGGAAAATCTTTTAGGATTTCACTCCTCCCAGCAACATCAGCAGCACTACGTAAAAGAGACAGGGCTTCCCGAAAGCGAAGGAAATCAGTTTCCCTGTTTGCAGAGGATAATTGGCCTGTAGCATCTGGCCAACTGACAGTTGACACCATTGGTGGTCTAGAAACCTTTTGAGAATCTCCAGGTAATGCAGGCAATGCTGAATTTGCAAGTCCACGACATACAGGGCAGAGAAACTCCCCCTGAGATAAAAAGTTCATTATTCAAGATACCAAAATAAACAATTGCTATCAACTGCAGAAAATGAGAGACTAAAGCAGACTGCTACCTGATCTGGATCTACAATGAGTCCTTCAAAATCAATTCGTCTAACATACCTGTATTAGCAGCGTAAAAACATTAAATATGCCTTTTCAATAGATGCACATGTCCAGCAACATGTTTAAAGAAACCCTACTTTATCAATATTATCGCGACTGTGAAAAGACAGACAGAAAACTTTAGTTACAAGTTTGTATGCCTATGTAGCAATGTTCAATTAAGTACGCATGTTGAAGGAACCTTGAAATAAAGGCAAGTTTAAAGCTTGGCTGCAGAATCACTTAATTCCTTTTGGTTGTCGGGATATCATGAAAGAATTCAGGAAAAAGGGAAGTTAAGAAAGCTTGCTTTTTCACGACAAAAATCTCCTGAGAGGCATTTTCTTATTAAAGGACGGGAAAACATTTAAGAAAATACTCTATTGGAGGCATAGCCCCAAACAAACACTCAAAATTGAAAGGGTAAATTACATTGACACCCCCTAAGTATGGTTTCCATCCCTAATATTCTGGAAATTACATTCCCACCCTTGTGGTTAATAGTCTTATTTTACAAATCCCCGCTTATATAAAAAGCAACAACTCCTGGTAAAAAAACAGAGGAAATTACATTTGGAAAAAAAAAAAAAAAGGAAAGGGAAAAAAAAATACCGAAGAAATAAAGCAAAGCAAAGAGAGGGTGCATGAGTTCAATGTCTTCATTCCGTCTAAATAATTACAATCACAGGGGGGTTAGTGTAATTTCCTAAACGTCAGGGGTGATATGTATTAAATCCAAACCTCAAGGGGGTGTAAGTGTAATTTACCCAAATTGAAATAGTTAAATTCACATTTTCATTCACTGTTCCTATTACGGAGCATCACATCAATTGATGCTTCAGTTCATGGTTCCTTAGTATAAGCTTTAAAGTCCTGGGATTCTCAAGTGATTGAGACATAATTATATTTGTAACAATAGTAAGAGACAGTTTTGAGCAATCATTCTCAAAAAAATAAACTTCCTTCACACGTAGAAGATCATAAGTTCATAACCCTTAGGTCATAATCTAGGAACAAGAAAAATAGCTTCAAAAAATTATAACCCCAAAACTTACTATAAAAAATTTTAGGTGTTGCATCTCAAGACATTCAAAAGGCTCATCTTTCAAGGGGTAAAATCCCGCCAAATAAAATATATTCAGATTATGCTGAACGTGTAACATAATAGTGCCTAGGATTTTGGGATGGAGGACTTAAAAAATAAAGATTATAACTTAGTAGGACTTACCTTTCTTTCAGTGATGATAAATAACGATCAAGACATGCTTGATGCACAGCATGCCCACAAGAAGAAACATGGATTCCATCACAATCTAAGGGACCAAAGCCATCATATGCTGCAAGAGGTGAAGAAGATTCTGATGGTGCTGCATTTCGTGAACGGGTATTTTCCGAAGCAGGATTCTCAATTGTCTCTTTTGAAAGAGAGGCAATATATTTTCCAAGCAAAAGAGATTCAGCACCTCCACTTGTTGAATGCCGTTCAACTGTTGGTGACGTCTGATCATCCTGTACAAAATCTGAATGAAGCAAATTATCATGCATTTGTTGACGAATGGACAAGTACATGTGTTCTTCTAATGTCTCAAGGGAACATGCAGTCCTTTCCCTTGTATCATTTGATGTGCAAGGCAGTTGAATATTCCTAACCGAAGGGAACCGAGCCTTGATGAATTCAAGAAAAGCATTGACTTCCCTAGGCTGTCCATCAGAAGCAAACTCATTTACCGCATTTTGAATCAATTGATTCAACTGAGAAGATGAAATCAGCCCTGAACTGCTTGAGGCAGTGTTCCTATCAGATGTAACACTCATCTTGTTTGAATGGTTAAGAACATTCTCCCCGTCTGACTGGCAAACTTGTTCCCATGATGGGGGACCTCTGTCAATGAGACTCAGAAGCCTGGATTTCTTGTTTCAAGAATACAAATAAAAACATCCGTATGAGTTTAAGTTGGAATTTAAAACAGAAAAACAAATTTGTAATCACTGAAGCTCAAATGATAATAATAATCAAGTCAGTCCCAACTCAATAGGACTCAAAAATAAACACAAACATACGTCAGGTAGACACTTACCTGGAGAAGAATCAGAAAAGATAGAGGACCTTTAGAATTTGGGTCATGGCAAAGAGAGCAGACATCTTGTGTGGGCTCTCCACTGTCGCTTCTGATATCAGAGGGGCATGCTTCTTCTCCACCTTCTGAACCATCCAACCCATCATTTGTAATTGAATTAATGCTTGCCAAAAATTTGGATTGCTGGGCTCGCATTTTTTCCTGCATATCAAATGTAGTGAGATTTTAAAAGACATTTCTAACAAGGGCTTAACTAGGTCTTGTGCAGTCACTGATTGATCCAACCTGACCCAGGGTAATTTTGGTACAGTTATCATTCACATCTGTTACTAAAACAAGAACATAAGAACCAACCACTGGCATGTATTAGGCTGATAATTCAGGCAAACAAACTGAAACTAGTAATCTATTCCTTATATATCTGGGAAATTAACCAATAATAAACAAAGAAACCGATCGACCTGACTTGGTCTTCTAAGTAAATTCTCTACAATTTCATTTCACCATTTGGGCAAACAATTGTTTACTCCTTTTGTTGAAAATGCCATGGAGGAAAGTCTATAAAAGACATAGTATGACATCTCACCAATATGGCCGCTTGTTTCTCTCGAGCTTTTGCCTTGAGCTTATCACCTTCAGAAGCTGAACCTCTGAGATCTGTACCACAATTTGGACCAGGATGGGACAGATGATTGACCACCTCAGGTGCAAGTTTGTGCAGTATAGTCATACATCCAGAGTCAACTTCTGCAAACTTCTTCAATAAACTTTCAATCAGAGAGGAAAGGTTGAAACCACCAGGTTCCAGAAAGTTGTTTGGCTTTTCCTTCCTATGCATCCTCATCAATGACACAAGAAGTGATAACAAGCTCTGGTCCCCGGATCTATTAGCAAATCCCATATATACTTCTTCCCCAGCAAAAGCTAAGATGGGAATCGAATCACCAATGCAACACAATTGATCACCAAATTCCCCTTTCTGACAACAGATGTCTAATGCTAATGAGAGCAAATGCAATGCTGTCAGCAGAACTCCATCAGGTGCACGTGATGCAGTTGACTTATCAGTGTAGACAGCATAAAATAATACAGCACGAATGATTTGGAGAACCATCTTACAAGTAGCCACTCTAGCAACTCCACTGAGAGGATTATATATCTTTGTCCATTTGGGTAGCTGAGTAGTCAGTGCAGAAGCACTGCAAAAGCGCAAGTATCTTTCTTCCGCAACTTGCAAGTCCCTTGAGTTCCAACGTGGATGATACAAATCCAGTTCCTTCCAATATTGCAAATGCACTTTATACATACCCTGAAATACAGAGAAATTTCAGGATAACTATTCAAATAGCATGTCAATTCAGAAACACCTAAAGATACTGCAGGCCACAAACGAAACCTGATTCATGCCAGACGGATTGGAATACACGGCTATTGTATCCAAAATTTTCTGAAGCTGATCAATTTTGGAAAGATCACGAGGCAATGATTTCACCAACTGACTGCGGGTGGCATCTCCAATTGCTAACTTATAAATTAACTCTCGTTGCAAACACTCAGCCATATTTAGTCCACAAAACCTCCTTTCTTTTACTATTTGTATAATAAGAGTAAGCATCTCCTGCACCAGGACTGGTTCATACCTGAAAACATAGACCGTAAGTAAATTTTTTTTTTTTTTTTTTTTAAAATATCTATGTTACTGGTTTAAGCTTTAAAGTAATAAAACAAATTTCCTGGTTCATTAACAGAGTAAGGTTGAAAATGACCACCACATGACAGAGGCCTATATATGCATACACAGAAAGATGTAAAATTCAGAACCAACTTTCTGTGATATCAATTGCCATCCAACACCTCTTCATGAGTTTTTTTCAACCCATCTTTCACAGATCATTATAGGAACAATACACATAGGCCTTGTTTGGCATGATTTAAAAAAGCCAAAAAGTCACTATCTAATTTAAGTCACATCATCTTATTTAAGTCACATCACCTCTCTAACAGATCACTTCAAACCCAACCCATATTTAATAAAAAGTCAAAAAAGTGCACTTATTTAGATCATCCCAAATCACCCTTATGTTTGTTATCACCATCAAATCATCCCAGTAATGCAACAGGCTGGAGTACTGCCACTAGGGAGTCAAAGGGAAGAACATGCTGCACATCCGGGATTTGCACATCTTGCTGCCAACAGCACCAAGCCCAGAATTGTCACTCCAGATCCTAAGCATGCATATTAATGTCAAGATGTTTTGCCTTGCTTTACCATGCCCCACAGCATCCACAAAAGCACACGCTCCATCATATATACCATTAGGCTTATGTAGCAGTACTAGTGTTAAGATGCTTTACATTGCTTTATGGAGAAACTTAAAGCATGTGCTCCACATATACCATTTAGCTTATGCAACACTAATTATGCAAGTGAAGGGCACATGCAGTGAGCATCAGTCCTTGAAGCACTTTCCTATTAGCAACAGAGGCAAAATTTCCTAAGACTAATCGCAACTGCAAAAGTCTTACAAAAGAACTACACATTCAGAAGAATTTCAATATCCACATGTATTTTTTCCCTCCAGCATAGAAAATTAATACAACATAAAAAAATCCAGCGATTTTCATTATTAACTGCTAAATAGCTCATACATAAGTTCCTGAAATTCTCAGTAAATCTAACTAAAGAAAGCCAAATTTCCATTAAGTAGATTTTTACAATAGTTCAAATCCAAATAAAAAACATCAAATTAACACCAATTAACTTCACTCCTTCATTAAATTATCACCCTATATTAGCAACTCACTTAATCCATGGATATTTAAAAGAAAAAAATTGAAAAAAAAAATTATTTAGCCATGAAAAACCAAATTTAAGATACCAAAAGTAAATGTTTAGGTTACGGAAATTCACAGATTAGTTTACGATGGTATATATTTAAACACCACTAAAGATAAAAACACAAAAAATGGTAACACCACCTTTCATCAGTGACAATTCTGGATATTTCTCTCCTCTCTCTTCAACACAAAAAATGCCAACAGCACCAAGCCGTACCAGTTCTCCCACCTATTTCTCTCCTCTCTCTTCGACTCTGTTTTTCTCTCAGAGCTTCTCCTCTCTCTTCGACTCTGTTTTTCTCTCAGAGCTATGACCTAGATATGGATATTATATATAGATATATATATAGTATAAATTATAATTTATATTATATTATTATAACTTTTTATTTTTTTATTTATATATATAGTATAAATTATAATTTATATTATATTATTATAACTTTTTATTTTTTTATTATATATTTTTATTTATGTTGTTATAAATTATACTTATATATAATATATATGTGTATGATATATTTTTATTTATATATTATATATATAGCCTTTATAAATTATTTAAAAAAATAGATCAAAAAAATTAATAAATTAGAACACAAAAATTAATAATCAATCATACTTATATAATGTTAATAATCAAAAAAATTAATTAGAACAAAATTATAAAAATTAATTAGAACAAAATTAATAATCAATCATACTTTTTAGTTTTGATATTTAATTTCAATTTGTAGGTTGGATCTTTTAACCATAATTATAAAAAATAAAAAAATAAATAAAAAAATATCGGCGTACCGCAGCCGTACCCGTATCCTACTTTTTTGAGGTTTTGCCGTATCGGCGTACCCGCACTCGTACCCGTACCGTACTCGTACCCGCACCCGTGCTTCTTAGTGGACAAGTGAAGATACAAAAATAGTATTTAAGTACTGAATAAAGTTATCCACACTAAAAATTTAATGTCAAACGATTTAAAACTTGCAGAAAACTTGAACATAATGTTAGAATTTTGAAGTTGAAAGTCATAAGCAGATGGCAAAAACAAAAAATAAAAAATTAATGACAAGAATCTCAAACGGGATGGTTTATTTTATTTTTTTTGGATAAATAAAGATTTATTAAGAAAGCATTAAGGAGATGCCAAAAGAATACAAAACCAACCCCTCAAACAGGGACCTAACCAACTAAATCATCCACAAAGTCTAAAACAACAAATATATTAGAATCTCAAACAAGATGGTAGAGGCGTTTCTTTGCAAAAACATAAATAAATCTACAACTACAAGAGGTTGATTGTATGTTTCCCAGGCATCCTTTCCAATTTATTTATTCGTTCATTTATTAAATTTTGAGATGCAAAAATGTGACATCAAATAATGATTAAATAGAAAGATGACGTAACAAAAAATTTAGCCACGTGTTCATCAATATAAAGATGATGCAAAAATTTAGCTACATGAATCCTGTTTTGCCATTTTACGCAATCAAGAGCCAGAATCCAACTAAACCACATATTAACATGATTTTGTTTCTTTCTGTCACGAGTCCACGACCCAAAATAATCTTATTTGTACCCTAGCATTACCTCGGATATGGAGAATGATAAAATTTTAATAGGATACTTAACACAAACAAATTATAGAGCATTTTTCAAAATTCAAAAGGATATTCTTTGCTACAGTTCATAGATGAGAATAAATCATACGAATGGGCATTTAGAGAAGGTATTGTATGGATTTCCATAGTAAAAAATTGTCATTTTGACTCACTTGTCTTAAGTACTCGTTTTTAGAAATAATTTAAATTTTGGATTTCAAGTTGTTCTAGGCATGTTTAGGATAACACAGTTTGATAATGATGATAACTACATAAAAATTAACCAAACATTGTCGTTGAATAAATTAATCATATGCACCAAATTTACATTTTCAATCATGCATTATGAAATTAGATATTATTTCATTATGTTTATGATCTAAGCAATATATATTCCAAATAGATATTGACATGTATCTATCTACATGTATGTATTTAATGTGACATGAGAAAAATGACTGGGCAATGAGAGTAGCAAGAAGACAAAGTCATTGCGCTAATGTGTGTGTAAAGTTAGGCACATTACACGATTAAGGAGAATTTTTGGGTCAGACCAAAATAGTAAGTGTTGAAGACTCAGAAAAAAAGTGACACAAAGACTCACAATAGTCATAAATCATATAAGGTCCCAAGCGGGAACAAAGGAAATCATGAAGTTTGGTGGAACCAAGGTAACATATTCACCAAAACAAACATCATATTAGAGGGGCCACAGAGCAATTACCAACTTTGGCAAGTGGCGGCCATTGCTGCTCCCCTTTTATAACAACATTGAAGCACAAATGCTTGAAAATTTTACTTAAATTTTTTCTAATATTGTCCGTAAAACAAGGTAGGCAAACAATATATTAGGAACATACTTCAAATTATAAAACCAGATCAGTCATAAATATATGATTTCATAACAAAAATCTTCAGCACTGGAATGAAGAAATTGGAAAGATGAGTTACATACTCACTAGACCGTTCAGGATGTAGAGAGAGGAAATTTGACAATCCGAAACGCTCTAAAATTCTGTTGACGTAAAGATCTGCTGGAGCTAAAGCAGCACAGCACTGCAGCAGAAGTAGATCAAGCTCTAAACCTTGCTCGGACCTGTAAAAAGGAATCAACAAAGAAGACATCCTTAAAAGGACCAACAATCATGTACAAGTGAAGCAAACATTTACATAGATATCACATAATGCATTAGTCTCAGCATACCAGCGAACTGAACGATACCATTCCCAAGATAATATGGCTGCATCCCCATTCTTCCTCCACATTCCAGCATGAACCTGAGCGCAGAATACTCTAATTCGTAAAGGATGCTCCATAATGAAGGCAGAGAACCCATACGGGTGGCACCCTCCTAGAACATGCCCGAAGAAATCCTGGCAGATAGTTGATGAATCAGCAGAATTGGCACTAATTGTGCTGGGCAAAGCGGACTCACCGTAACATCTTCTCAATGCTCTTTGTAAAACCAATGACAATAATCGATGTAAAGGGATGTGAACAGATATATCCTGTGAACTAACATCATATACTATATCTGGCCAATCTGACAGACTTAGAACACGTAGTGCTTCTAATTCAGTAGCATAGTCTACTTCCATCGTATTATCATCAAAAGCAGCAGGACTAGCATCCTGTCCCATGACTCGTCCACTTTCCAAGTTGATACCTATGTGGAATCCACTGTGAGCTGGTGAAGAACCCTGTCTACCTTGAAGTTCACTTGAACTCGTAAGTTTACTGCTGGCTGAAGGTGCATTATATGACCTAAAAATGGATTTACCCTTCCTAAACTTCAATAGTGTTTTCTTGAATGCAAAAAAGTTGTTCCCTGACATGTTCGCTGCTTTCGGTGATAAGACATTAAAAAGAGCTTCTGACGTATTATCCGTTCTTAACCAATTTTCAATAGCCTTCAAGCACTCGAATGTTAACCATGAAATAGAAGGCCGAATTAAAAGGATATCAGATTTTGCTTCAGCAACTCTGGATGCAGAACCTAATGTACAATTCCTGCCTGTTCCACTACTAACGGAGCTTTCCTGCGAAAGCCTTCCGACTTTGGCATGTCTTGGGCTATCTCGATCATCATAATCTTTTTCATCATCTGTCTCCTCTGCAGTACTGATAGAAAATGCCCCTGCCACTAGGAGAGAATGAATGTTTGCAATAGAATGACCTAAAACAAAAGGCAAATGCATATTTTCATTTTCTTCTTCTATATGAATGCCTGTTTCTCTCTTTTGAGGGTTCATCCCTTGCACAAAAGCCAATAGCCTCATCCACATCCTTGAGATATCTCGCCGATCATGGGTTACATACTTAGGTACTATGGCATGGCTCATGACAAATCGAATATCTTCAACCACACGAAGAGTTGTTTCATACAAATTTCCCCACTTCGTAACCTGCAAAGGACTCTAATTAACTATCTTGCTCTAAATGCAAAAATGGAGAAGTAAAACTATTTCAAATTACAGTTTACAAATGAATTGAGCAATTAGAATACAAGACTAAGAGAAAAGCTACATGAATTCCTCAAAAACCAATTATCCCATTATTGTACATGAGAATTGGATTCACAGTTGGAATGCATCAAAAAGCAATCAATGAGGGGGACAAAACAAGAAAAAGAGAGAGGAAAATACATATATATATATATGCATGAACAGAAGGGTTTATTATTATGCATATTAATTGTGTTTGTGTCCTTTTTCTTCAAATTGATTTGTTTCTCCCCACCATATTTGTTGATATCCCACAGAAACTAAAAAGACAACACAAGATATGGTAAAAACCAAGTGCACCATGAATGAAAACATCAGCACCTCAGTTTATACACAGAAACAAAATCCAAAGAAAATGAACACTGCACTCCACAAGATGTGTAACATGGACCTTAAGAAACTATTCAAACAGCTTTCAGATATCCTTGGGAGGGGCCATGCACTGGGTATAGCAGGGAAATAACTCTTTACATATTACTATTAGCTATACCTGGTTTAACAGTTTAGGGTCACACAAAAAATAAAAAATAAAAATCTTCGGTTTTTCATTACAAAAAATACTTCCTTCAAAAATATATTTATAAAAAACATCATAACACTAATTTCGAAGTTTAAAGGATGGAGAATTAATAGATATGAATCTACATTGCTTCCCCCCCCCCAGCCATCAGATCTTAGGCTATTTTGTGCAAACTTGTAATGTTTTTCATGTGTGCCTAAAAGATGGGCAAGTGTCTCCCCACACGTGCCCAAAGCATGTCCAAGTCGAATTTTTTTTAAAAAAAATAATAGGATATGTTTGAATGTATGTCCAACATGTGTTGGGAAGTATCCAATGAATATCGGAGTACAACACGAATACGCTACCTTACTAGAAGTGTTTGTGCTTCTTAGACCATGACCAATAGAAGGCACTCAATGATCACCCAAGCAACTTAAAGCATTCAATGACATTGATGAATCAACAATTTGAAAATATGGAATTGTTTGGAGCAGTTTATAGGGGCTGCTTATAGCAGCTTCTTTTTTTCATTTTAGGAATATGTGTCAAGGTGTTTGTTGTAACTTCTGCTTACAACTTATGAGGCAACATAGCTTAAATAAGCTAAAACAAAACTAATTAGTGGGAACCTGTGAGAGAGGGTACTTTTAGCTTCTGCTTTTTTATTATTAACTTTCAACTTGCAAGAAGCTACGCCAAACTTGCCAAAAGTTCTTGCAGCAGAAAGTGAGCTATAAGGCAGCATGTAGAACATAATGGAGCACACATCATTCGAAATGTATACACATATGTATCAGATTTTATGAACTTTATACTCCCATAGGAAGAGTCAAATAGTTTTATTCAGCAATTAAAAGCTACAGATCCACATTCATTAGAAACTGTACACTGCACAGGGAATATGAAAAAATAACCGACCAAGTTAAGGACTCCCTAACAATGCCGCTCTTAAGAGAACATAATAAATCATCAAGTGCGTACAAAAGAAATAAAAGTCAATGCACTACCTGTAATTGTCCATCTTGTCCAGTACAAGAAATAAAAATGTCTTCCAGACATTCCAATAGCAAGACCAAGAGATTCTTTTCCTTCACCAGGCATGGAGTCAGAGTTGGCACAGTGAAAATTTGAACAGAAAATGTGGACAGCAGCGGATACTTCTTAAAAACAGCATCACTACATTCTTTTACGGCTTCACTGACCCGAGTTGGATAATAATTAAGAAAGACCTTTGCAAACTCATATTTGAATAAAGGTTCACCCAACAATTTCAAAAGTAACTCATGAAGCTTCTTTGCGACATCCTCACTCAAGAACCTCTCTGCCATCACCAGAATATCCAGTAAACCAACTGACGAAAACATTCTCTCAGAAATTAAACTGAGCAGACTTTCACTACACTTGCAAAACTCCAAAAGCATCTGCACCACAGCAGATGTTAGCACATCTGCAACCTTTCCGAACTCTGTTACATGATCATCTACTGTAGGACTTTGCTGAGATATAGGATCTGCAATCGTTAGCTTATTTTTCCAATAGACAAGAAGCAAATCAAGGACAGGCCTCACAGAATTAGCAAACTCCTCTGAAAGGGGTTGTATCTGTTCTGCACCTTTATGCTTCGAACAAAAGCCCTCGCGCTTCCAAGCAGTCACGTCTCCACAATCACAGCAACCACCACCCGTATAGATAATAGAATAATCATGGTCCTTGTGGTTCCCATTCTGGAAACAAGGAACACAAATCGCACAGGTCGGGTCATGCTCACATGTTCTGCAGCGGTATGCTATATCATTGTTACCCCAAACAGCCCCACAGACACCGCGCTGGCCAACACTCATTTTGGCTAGGTTATTCAACGCATCACCTGGTTCACCCTCAAACATCAACCACTGCAACCAAACCATGCTTTCATGGAAATGATCTGCAAGCCTTGGGGAAAAAGCCTCCTCTTCCTCATCATCATCATTTGGTAAGATAGCAGAGACCAGATCAGGTATTTGGAACTTGTTATCCTTAAGAAAAGTAACTAGACTAGGCTGGAGCTTCTCAAGATACTCTGCAGGAACACCTTGCAGGGAAAGTCTCTGCTATGAAATAAGAAACAAAATGTAAACACCATCTATATAAAATATATAATTCTCACCGGAACAAAATTGGTTTACACAGGTTCAATTCTGAATACAAACATTGCAAACAAATGCATATCGAATTATACAGAAATAAAAATTTTAATTATTTGTATTATGCTCTGCTGATTAAAAGTTCTATTTTCCTAGACTCACTTTTATTTTATTTTATTTTGGATGAGTTAATTGTGATATGCCTTGTGTTCTTTTCCTTCTTAACATTCTCAACTAATGTCAACCCAAAAAATCAAAAATCAAAAATCTAAAAATCAAAACTTTTTAACCAATTATTCAAATTGGAGTGAATGATTAAGAAATATATCAGCCTAAATACACCAAACCCAGTAAAAATTCCAACGAAATTGCTAGAACTACAGAGCTAAAGCAAAAATTACAAACGAATACATAACTTCCTGCTGAAATTGGATGGTTATACCACGAAGAAGCAATTTTTGACATAATTCATCAACCAATTGACAACTAAAACAATCAGAATCAGATATTTTGAAGGTTTTTCGAGGCAACCAAACACGGAAAGACAGAAAAACGAGTAGGTGAACCTGAAGAATACGATCTCGAGGCGAAATGGTGTCAGCATCGGGAGGCGAATCAATCTCCATTATGAACATGAACCGAAGCCAATCGGCGCAACAACAGGCTCTGAATTGAGTGGTCTCAGTCCCCAGGGCTGAACCAGTACAGTACTCAAGAGAAACCCTAACTATTTTGGGGGAGTTTGATCTTCGATTTCGGCATCGTTGAGGACTGAGCTTTCTCTCTCTAGGTTGGGGTAATCGCTTTCTCTCTCTAGGGTGGGGTAATCGCTTTCTCTCTTCTTCTACACTGATGATGGTTCACCTACACACAGGATAAATGCTCTGATAGCATGTTTTGCTGTGTTTTCATTATTATTATTTTTTTAATGGCCAGCTTGTCTCAAGTTGAGATCAAAATTGAATCTGTTCTGTTCGGTTTATGGAATTTATTTTTTGAGTCTGTTTTGATAATCTGAATCGTTCAATGTATAGATCTCGTTAAGTAGTACATATCTATAAAAAATTACATTAATTGGATATCAATAGTTATGTGATCAAATCAACTTTGTATAAAAAATAGACAGTGAAATAATTAATGGTTGATAAAAAACTGTTTTGTTTATATAGCTATCGATATCCGATCAACGTGATTTTTTACAAGCATAAAGTACTCGACGAGTTCTAAACATTAAACGATTCGGATTATCAAAACAGGACCTGTGGTGGACCTCCACAGATCCAATAGTACAATCCAATCCGATCTTAGACTGGACAAAAGCCATTGCCTTTTTTAATTTGATTATTTTATACTCCATTTGATAACATTGACAACTATTCACTGATTGTCTCGTTTATGGAAGGTTCTTGATGACCTATTTCTTTTTAAAGATAAAATAAACAGATTGGTAGTAAGTGGATTGTTAATAAGGAGATTGATAGTGAGGTGATTAGTAAAATTGTATTTATTTTGATAATAGTTGTTAGTGTAAGAATTGTTAAATTAAATAAATATAAAATAATAAAAAAAATAAAAACATTAAACATTAACCATTTGGTAACATTGACAACTATTCACTGATTGTCTGGTTTATGGAAGGTTCTTGATGAACTATTTCTTTTTAGAGATAAAATAAACAGATTGGTAGTAAGTGGATTGTTAATAAGGAGATTGATAGTGAGGTGATTAGTAAAATTGTATTTATTTTGATAATAGTTGTTAGTGTAAGAATTGTTAAATTAAATAAATATAAAATAATAAAAAAAATAAAAACATTAAACATTAATGTTGAAAAAAAAAACCCAACATATAAAAAAAAAAATTGCAGTTGACTAGACGTCCGATAACACCCTAAACTGAACGGACTATTTTCTAATACTATCTCACAGTCCAGACTACTAATACCTTCGCCCAAGGCCTTTCATAGTCCGAAGGGACTACCAATCCAGATTATTATAAATCAAACAAACATGATTTATGTCCATTGTTCATCACCAGGAGGCCTGACTGGACTCCTGCAACGGAAAACAAACGGGATCTGAGTTCAATGAGTTGAGTCTGTAAGAATTCTTTTCGAATATGGCTTAATGTGGCTTATGCATGATTATACTAGATTTATCTCATTAAGCAAGATAAATGTACATCAATTAGATGGTGACTAATTATTGTTGAATGCACATATATATACATAATGTATAGAAGACTAATGGAGATAGTGTAAATGCATTGAATGTGATAGATTCATTATGAATGAATCTTAGAAATGCATTATGTATCTATTATGAATGTAGAAGATATATTAATCTATCTAATAAGTTTATTAATATAGAAAATGCATTATGTATCATGAATGTAAAAAATACATTAATCTATTTAATAAAGTTCATTGAATGAATGGATTCTTTGATAGAAAGAATATTAGTATAAATAGTGTAAGGTCCCAAACCACACTCTCCATCACAAAACTCAAGTTGTCACCACAAGAAGGCTCCCATCACCTAGAGAGAGAGAAGTGATTTGAAGATCTTAGACAAGTAAAAAATTTGAAGATCAAGGTCTTCTATTCAAGGTTTCTCTTTTTTAAAAAAGGATTTCATATTATCATAGATCAAGATATGTATAGACTTATTTTGTATAGTAGAAATTCATATAGTTTTCATGTATAGAATTGAATCCTTAATGGTTTTTAGTTTATGTTCTGCAAAGTTTTCTATCAATTGGTATCAGAGCATGGTTCTCAATTCTGATGCATGAAACGTATAAGTATGAATTTCATTTTATGATGATGTGTTTATGTAACAAGTGCATAACCTTGATTTACACTTGTCCAATTTTATTTTTATTTTTGGCCAATTTTTTATTCTTTTGATATTAAAATAAAAATTGAAAATTATTGAACAAGTGGTAATTAAGATAAATGTTTTACGCACTTATAATGTTTTGTTACACACCTTATGAGTTGAAACATTGTTGATCAGTCCAACGGAGGTTCAACACTATGTATGTTTGAACAACCAAGATGATTAGTATAATAATTATAACAATAAGTTTTTCTGCCCAACGGTGATAAACTCGTTACGGTTTTAATGATTATTTTATTTTATTTTATGTTATTTATTTTTATTAGTCATCTCATTTACTTTTATTAATTGTTAAAATATATTGTTATTCGGCCCAACGAAATGATAACTTGATTTCCTATCTAACTATTATGTTTTTTAGTTAGATATATTTAAGTTGTGGTGTTATTTTTATGACATGTGAAAAGCAGTTTTCTTGATTATATTATGTAATGGATATTATGTGTTTGCAGCATTGAATCCTACTACAATTAATAGTTACTTGTCTGGTATTGAAGTTTTGAGTGGAACTAATTTTAAGAAATGGAAGGAACAAATTGGAATTGTTTTGGGAATTATGGATTTAGACTATGTATTAAGAGAGCCAACTCCTACAAAGCATAATGATACAAGTTCTAAGGAACACATGGCTTTATATGAAAAATGGGAACGCTCTAATCGCTTAAGTCTAATGATTATGAAAGGCTCAATTACGTCTACAATTCAATGAGCAATCCCTGAAAGTGCAGTAAGCTATATGAAATCTATTAAAGAACAATTCATTGGAACTTCCAAATCCCTTACTAGTACTCTCATGATTAAAATGATGACAATGAAATATGATGGTTTGAGTGGTGTTCGTAAACATATCTTAAAGATGAATGACATGGCCTCTCAATTAAAGGGAATGGACATGAAAATTTCTGAAGGTTTTATTGTTCATTTCATTATGACTTCTCTTCTTGCGTAATTTGGTCCTTTTAAGATCAATTATAATACGCAGAAAGATAAATAGAAGATGAGTGAGTTAATTGCCATGTGTGTTCAAGAAAAAAAGAGGCTTAAAGCTAAAAAGCCTGATATGGCTCACCTTACCACCTTGGGTCCAACCAAAAAGATTTTCAAGAAAGGCAAAAGTAAGAAGAAGAAAAATGCAAATGATGAAACTCACAAAGCTAATGAAGAAAATAAGATTCGATGCCATTTCTATCGAAAGAAAGGTCACATAAGAAAATACTGTCCAGGTTTTAAAAGTTGGTTGGACAAGAAAGGTAACACTCAATACTTTGTGTCTTATGAATCCTTTTTGGTAGATTTTTCACCAAATTCTTGGTGGATTGACACTGGTGCAAGTATTCACATAACAAATTTCATGTAGAGATACCTTACAAGTCGGAAACTAAATAAAGGAAAACGAACCATTACGGTTGGGAATGGAATAGAAGTGGACGCTGAGGCTATTGGCACCCTCCGTCTAATTTTAGACTCTGGTTTCATTTTAGATTTAGTAAACACAGTTTATGTTCCTGTTTTTACTAGAAACCTAATTTCTATGTCACAACTTGATTCCTATGGTTATGAATTTAAGTTTGGAAATAATAGAGTTTCTTTATTCCACAATTCTCATATGATTGGTTCTGGTACTTTATATGGTAATCTTTATTCATTGAATTTAGATTCCACTTATGCACAATCTCTTTTATCCTTTAATGTAAACGACTTGGTAAATAAAAAGAGAAAGCGAGTGTATGAAAATTCATCCATGCCGTGGCATAAGCGCTTGTGCCACATATCAAGAGAAATGATGGAACGTCTTATTAAAGACGGAATTTTAAGTTCACTTGATTTTTCTGATTTTAGTACTTGTGTGAATTGCATTAAAGGAAAATACACAAAGACAAAGAAAAAGGGTGCTACTAGGACTACTGAAATTATTAGACACAATTCATACTGATATATGTAGTCCTTTTACTATTCTAACTATTTCTGGACATAAATAATTTATTACTTTTATTGATGACTTTTCTAGGTATACTTATGTGTATCTTATTCGTGAAAAATCAGAAGCACTGCATATGTTCAAACTCTATGAAGCTGAAGTTGAAAATCAACTTGGTAGACGGATTAAAAGTGTAAGATCTAATGGAGGTGCTGAATATTATGGTAGATTCACTGAATTGAGTCAAAATCCAAGTGCTTTTGCTTTATTTTTGGCTGAGAATGGTATTGTTGCTAACTACACGATGCCTGGTACATCTGAGCAAAGTGGTGTAGCTGAGAGATGAAACCGTACTTTTTTTGACATGATGAGAAACATGATGAGTAACTCTTCTTTGCCAGATTACTTGTGGGGTGAAGCTTTAAAAACTGCTATACATGTTCTTAATAGGGTTCCTAGTAAGGCTGTGCCTATAACTCCTTATGAGTTGTGGGTTGGTAGGAAACCTAATTTGAATTATTTACATGTATGGGGTTGTCCTGCTGAAGCAAAAATTTTCAACCCACAAATAAAGAAATTAGACCTTAGAACTATAAGTTGTTTTTTCATTGGATATCCTCAAAGATCAAGGGGTTTTAGATTCTATTGTCCCATTCATAGCACAAGAATTATTGAAACTAGAAATGCTGCGTTCTTAGAGAATGAAAACATTAGTCGGAGTATGAATCTCAAAAATGTTTCTTTGGAGGAAAATCGTGCTTTTACGCTTTTCACGATTATCTAAGAAAATGTAGTACCTGAACCTATTGGTACTCAAGAGATTTCTCACATTGAAAAAGAAGTTGTCTCAGTTGCAGAACAACATTTACGCATATCGCAAAGAGAAAATAAACTAGCCATATCAGATGACTATGAGGTTTACCTAAATGAGTGTAATATAGGCTTGGAGAACGATCCTATTTCTTATGCACAAGCCATGAATAATGGAAATTCAACTCAATGGTTAAATGCCATGAAAGATGAGTTAAAATCCATGAAAGACAATAATGTCTAGAATC